ATCTTGGTTGATCACTCCTGGGAAGGGTAACAATGAGGTTGAATTACCTCCATGATCTGCCTGACAGTGGCCTGATAGAGTCCAAACTCTTTGGAAGTAGTTTTATTTGATTAGATCTATCTGTCTCTATCTATGGCAGGGGTCACCAACCTTTTGGACCTCAGGGACCACCAAACTCATAATTTTAAATCCCGCAGACCAAAAACCCTGGGAAAATCCCCCCCAAAAGTCTGCAGGAATATTCCCCACCCCGTTTTCCTACTGATCGATCATTCTTTATTTGGGATCACAGGATACCGTCTCCAGCTCCGTTCTCAGGGGAGGAGAGAGCGAGACTTTTGGCTTCATGCAAGGAAACAGCAGAAATCTTTCTTTCTGTCCCCCAAACTCTGCCAGAAATGTTGGCGCAGCCTTTTAGAGCAGGATGCCTTGCAGGGTCCCAAAGACTCATTTCTGGCGGAGTTTGGGGGAGAGAAAGAAAGATTTTTGCTGCTTTCTTTACGTGCAACCAAAAGCAGAAGAAAGAAGCGACGTGGGGCGAGTGGGGCAAGTTCCCTCCCCCTCTGCCCTTCCCCCCTCTCCCCTCACTACCTCGTGTTGTTCGCAGTGCAAGTGACACAAGCCTTGTGTTCCTGCGGGCCATGTGGACGGCGCAGCCTTGTTTTCCCATGCAACCTGGATTAATTGCTTTGGGGAGTACTTTGGGGGTGACATTTCTCTGTGGCCCACCAAAATTTTCTCATGGACCACCAGTGGTCCTTCGCCCACTGGTTGGCGACCACTGATCTATGGTATATATATCTCTCTCTCTCTCTCTCTCTCTCTCTCTCATCATCCTGTCTACCACTTTCATAGACACTCTGTGTGGTGTATAATTTAATCATTAAATTTAATAAGACATTAAAACTGAATAATTTAAGATTAGTAATTTTAAAAATGCAAAACAACATAAATTACAAAAGCTGGAGAGGTCCAGGATGGGAAGACTAGAAGTTCATAATACAGGGAAGGGGGAGTTCTCCCCCAATTCTTCTGTGAGCCCCTGTGTCCCCCCATGCAAAGCTACACAGCCAGGTTTTGACCACTTTGTGTAAGGCCAAAAGATTGGGGACTTTCCTCACCTTTGAGGGCAAGATGTTCAAAGCAGAGGCAGTGGAAGAAAAGGCCCTCTTCCTTGACTTCGCAGCTGAAATGCTTTCCCTGCCTGAATGAGTTGGAGTAGCTGATGTGATGGAGCAAAGCTGGTTCTGTAGGCAGCCCAGCCCTATGCCATGTAGGGCTTTATTGGTAATAACATTGAATTGGACCTAGAAGCAAACTACCATAGGACCCAGGAGCAGAAGTGTTGTTATATGTGCGCTTCTCTGGGCACCTAGTATAGCTCACAGGGCCACATTCTGCACCAGTTGAAGCTTCTGTGTACTTTCTAAGTGTATCCCCATAAAGAGTGTGTTGCAGTAGTCCAATTGGGAGATGATCAGGGCATGAGTGACCTTTTTGTAGGAATTGCGTAGACAACAGATAATATTTTATGTCATATTTATGTGAAAATAGTGAAAAATCAAAAGGGTTCAAAACTTTTAAACACTATTTACCTTCCAGTCAAATACAAAATTTATGATTTATTTCAGTGGAACTTTTAAGAAATATCAGATATTTCTATGCTACTCACAGAAAATTCTTATGTAACCAACTGGTGAAAATGTTATTTCAACTGTTAAATTTGTTTTTATAGTTAAGGGACAGTGAGTTAGTTTGCTAGCATATTCTTCTACCCTGTTATACAATTGTTAATCTGAATGAAAATCAAATGAGTAATGGGATAAATATGCTGCTTCTCAAAGATGGTTTCTGGTAATCTAAAATATTTCAGACTATTAATTTCATTTCCACATTTATTTTTAAAAATTGTCCTTCATTTCAATAGTAGCCAATTTGTGTAATTTCACCAGTTCTTTTCTAAAAACTTCCAATGTTATTCTCCACCAGTTGATAGAAATGGCAATCTAGTATTCAGTAATTGCTTTGAATACCTTCTGTTTCAGGAGGGAAGGAAAAAATACCTTGTAATATTTATTGTACTTAGCTTAAAGTCTGATGATCCTGTTTTTTGTGTGTTTACTGAGCAAATCTTTTGTGGGAATATTTTAAAATAATACTGTAATTCTACTAGTGCTTTCTGATGAAAAGATAATAAAAGAATACAGAAAGCAAATAATGTGTAGTGGACTATGCTGAACCAGTGATTATCTTGAATATGTTGTTCTTTCTCATCCTTGAAATTATCTTCAAAATACCCAAATATTATGTTTTTTGAAGTTTCACTTTTGTAGCTGGCTACATGCACATTTCATGGAGGCTTTAGTATCATTAGGCTTTAGTATCTTCTAATTTTTAAGTACATTTTTATTTCTCAAAAGGAAATGTGAAGACTTTGTTTTCAAAATATTTCTCAATTATCGAAGTGACTTACAGCTTGATCACAGAATATGACTAATTTTGGATAATGTGAGTTATTAAAAGGCACAAAATATAATTGTAATACCTGTAGAGGGATAACCTCGTTAGATGAAATATTGGTTGTCTCAAGCCTTCCGTCCCAGAAACCTTCTACCATTGACACAGATGGTAGTTCTTCCTCCTGCCTTGATGCAGCATCTTTGTTATTGGATGTTATCTTTCTTCCAGAGGGGTGCTGCATTTGATATCCTTCCCCTAATTTCAACATTTGAGAGAGATGGAACTCCTATAGGGCTTTATTTTTTACATATATTCTTTGTTTTTCGTATATTCAGTAGTTTTATTGTATTTGATATAAAAATAATAAAACAGGTTTTTTTTTAAAAGAAAAACTTAGGATCTTCAGATTTGTTAAGTACAAAAATATTTAAAATTGCTTTAGGAATACCTTAATTTTTTCTGGTTACGAATAGGTATAGATATATCTTTTTATGTTTGTATGTGAACTTACATATTTTAGGAGTTATGACACGTCTACTAGATAACATCACCTTAACCTGACCTTGCCACTTAAACATTTTTATGTTTGAAAATGTGTGTGTGTATTTTGAACATGATAAAATTTAGACTGACTAGTCTTGTCAACTGCATAAGAATAAGAGACTGTTAGTTTTGCTTATTACAGAGGCTTTGAAGATAATTGGTAGAAGACATTTATGTTCTCTCAAGATGGCTATTCCTCCATAGCAAGCTTTAAAAATTTAGAACTCTTAATTACGTATCATGATCTGTTATTAAGTAAAAAAAATGTGATAATTATTTACAGATATATTTCCTTATATCTATCAATTTTACAAAAATTAAGAGTAGTAATATTTTTCAATCTTAAAACCTAATCTAATTTTTTTGGAACAGCATAATTATGATTCTTTTCCATACTGTATTTTTTCTTAGGAACATTTTGTAGCCTCCAATGTGTTGCATGTAACCTTATACTGAACAGATAATAAAAGTAAATATTAAAGGAATCAAGGCAACTGTAGGATATATTGTAGTGAGAAAATTCTATGTTAAAATTCCAGAGTGTAGTTAAAATTAGTTCAGGTTATTTTATAGAATAATATTTAGGAATTGACATTCCTGAGCTTTCCTAGATAACTGAGCTTTACATTATTACTGGAACTTATTGGAACTCTTCGTGGAAATCATTCTACATTTCTAGGTGTACTATTGGGTGACTGACTATATTTCAGGGTTCTTTCCTTTCCTTAATGATTACATATGAAGTGAATAGTTCAGTAATATTTACAACAGCAGATGGTTCATATGGGAGAATTCACAAATGGATACTCAGAATTGTTCAAGCATCATTCTGTCTACCCTGCAAGAAAAGTAGCCAGCTTCAGTACGGTATTGGATCAGTGTTAGTATCAGTATGCTCATAGGAAAACCACAAAGTGTGTCCATCATCAGGGAGTGGATTTTAAATGCTGAAAATAAAAACAACCCTATATTGCCCCATGGTACTTTTGCAGCTCTCCTTGTTCTACTCAGTCATGGGCTATCATCACATGACATTTACCCATGGTTAACAAAAGTTGACCCATTTTGGGGGTGTTACCATAATATAACTATATCTTGGCTGAATTTGTGTGAATTGGAATTTTATGATACACTATATTTTTCTTTGATTCAGTATTGTTTGTAGACACTTTTATATACCTGCGAAGGAAAAAGTTTCACTATATGCAGGTCTTTGTCATTCATCAATGTTTTTAAAGTTTTAACCATTTGGTATCAGAATATGAATGCTTGAATTAAAAACTGAAGCACTGTAACATCCTTGCCATCTTTGTCCAGGCTGAATTGGTATGCGATCGGGAGATTTATGGAAAATATCAGGCGTAAAAAATTAAGGAAATAATAATAGAAGAATGCAATGGTAAATCATTTCAAGTTTTTGAAAATTTCAAAGGCATAATCATGAAATCACCAGGTGTTGAGTTCACTTTGAAAGAGACTTTGTCTTATCATTGTTTTACTTATTTTCAAAGATAGTTTCAACATACATATTCAATAAACAGTACATAATAATTTACAAATTTAAAAATAGAAAACCTATTTGTTTCTGGATTTAGACATTTACCTATCAGATTGCTACATTTTAATTTTGCCTCATTTTTATAAGCCTTCATTTTTTTTTTTGCCTTGTCATTGTTTTACTTATTTTCAAAGATAGTTTTGACATACATGTTCAATACGTAGTATATATAATTTACAAATTTAAAAATGGAAAATCCAGTGTTTGTTCCTGGATTTATAAGTTTTACTGCAAGATTACTACATTTTAGTTTTGCCTCATTTTTATTACTTCATTTTTATATTTTGTGTATTATATTTGAAGTAATGCAAATTTACCAATCAATGTATTGTAATCTGTTGGAAAACCTGAGAAACATAAGTTATTTTCATCTATTCTAAATTTGTATAAGTGACCGTTATTTTAATTCAGTCTGTTTTTTCCTTCTGTTTTTGGACAGTCATGGAATGGGGAGATGATATTAGAACAGTTTCAGAAGATGAAGCTTTGATGCTGGTGAACCATCAAGCAACCGGAGATATTTGCACTCTAATGATGTGCCTTCAAGACAAAGGCACGGTATGCTACTTTGATAGATATTGTTGATATATTGTACTTGTTGAACAATCAGAGTAATTTTTTCAGAAATATAACATTAGAAAACTAATGCATAAATATCCATCCAATACTTTAATATTTTATATTTTTATATCTTCTCAACTTATATTATTTACATGCCTGTGCTGTAGAAGTGGGACACACAAGTGTTTAGGTCAGGCAGCATTTCTGTCTGTCTGTCTTTCTGTCTATCTGTTTATCCCTACCTGCCTACCTACCTGCTCTGATGTATAGCCATCACAATAAAAAAAATAAAAATTTGAATACATATAGTCCTCAACTTACAACCACTCATGACTGACATTAGAAATGGCATTGAAAAAAGTAACTTCTGATCATTTCTCACACGGCCATTGCAGCATCCCCATGGTCATGTGATCAAAATTCAGATGATAGGCAACTGACATATATTTATGATGATATGCAGTTTCCCGGTGTCATGTGATCACCTTTTACAACCTTCTGATAAGCAAAGTCAATGGGAAAGGCAGATTCACTTAACAATCTTGTTATTAGCTAAATTGCAGTGATTCACTTAACAAGAAAGTTTATAAATTGAGCCAAAACTTACTTAACAACTTTCTTGCTTAGCAATGGAAATGTTGGGCTCAATTATGTTCATAACTCCAGGATTACCTGTATTGAAGTTAAAATAGACATTTAAAGAACAAAATAATCAAATCATTGGACAGTTAAAAGTCTGATGGAAGGCATGGATCTTCACAAATTTGCTAAACCCTGAGAGAATTAAGGCCAGTTTTAAATGCAAGGGAGTGAATGCCACAGCAAGAGAAGAGTCATTCCCACGTGCCAAAAATATGAACCTTTGATAGTATAGATGTATTTAAGAGGACCTATATTTCTGATCTTACAAATATAACAAATTTGTAATAGGAGCAATTTGTCCCTCAGGTAACCAGAGTTTTACTTTTAAAAACTGTAAAGGTGATTGACTACACCTTAAATTGTGCCCAGTAAAGAAATGACCATCAGTACATATCTTTCAGCAGAGGGATAATTTGAATCCCTATCTTGCACATAGAATTTTCTATTAACTTAAATTTTCAAATACTTTTCAAGGATGTTGTAGCTCCCAGTAGAGCATATTTCAGTGCTCAAGATGAGATGTAATGAGGCATGAATAAACAGTCAAGTTTGACTGACTCAGGAAGGATGCAGCTGGTACGCTAGATGGGGTGCAAAATCCTTCTTTCTGCCTGTTGCTGTCACTAAAGAATACACTCACAGCTGAGGTTCAAGAAATATTCCCACATGGGCCTTCTGGAATGCAATTTTATCCAAGAGGTTGATCCTCAGTCCCTGAGTCCTGTTTACGATCTTTTCATCTTATCTTCATCTAATTCAACTAGTTTTTTTTTTCTTTCACCCAGCCCATTTTTGAACTTAAGAAAATTCAAAAGTACTGATTGAATTTAATGATAGAAAGTCATAAAGTTGAGTATCATCAGTGTGATATAGCTTCTCTGCTTCACAACTTTATTTTATTTTATTTATTTATTTATTTTTGTCAATTGCTTACAAGATAATAGGTATAAGTAAAAACTTAGTTATGAATACATGGATACATAAAAGAAAAATAAAAAATAAAAGAAACAATAGGACAGGAATGGTAGGCACGTTGGTGCGCTTATGCATGCCCCCTACAGACCTCTTAGGAAAGGAGTGAGGTCAATAGTAGACAGTCTAAGGTTAAAGTTTTTGGGGTTTGGGGAAGAAACCACAGAGTAGAGTATTCTAGACATTGACCACTCTGTTGCTGAAGTCATATTTCCTGCAATCAAGTTTGATGCAATTAACCTTGAGTTTGTATCTATTGTTTGCTCTTGTGTTGTTATGGTTGAAGCTGAAGTATTCATTGACAGGTGGGACATTGCAATATATGATTTTATATACTATACTTAGATCGGACCGAAGGCTGCGTAGTTCTAGGTTTTCTAGGTCTAGAATTTCGAGTCTGGTGGCAACGAGTAGAGGAATGGAGAACTCTTCTTGTGAAATATTTCTGGACTTTCTCAACTTGGATTGGATGGGGTGGGGTTGGATGTGGAGTTGTGGGTTGTGTGACTTTCTTTTGATGCAATCAGCTCGGTAGTCAATGTATAGGTCCTTTTCTCCATTGTCTAGATGGTTTTTGATTTCTGTGCAGAGTTCACGGGAGCAGATTCTTTGCAGTATGAATAAGTCTGGTCTTGAGCGAAGTTTTTTGTGGTTGGGATTGGTTTTTGCAATGGCGTTTATTGTACGAATGAATATGCGTTTGCTGGACTCATTTTTGCATACAACTCTACAAAATCTTGGGGCCATAGAGCCATCATTGTATTTGTACCCAGGGCCATCTCTGGTTATTTCAATGATATCTTCAGGAGAGATGTTAGTTGTATTTGAGATGCTTATGATGTCATGAACTTTGGTGATGTCGTCTGATTCGTTGGTGTCTTCAAGACCAAATAAGATGGCATTTGGACGTTTCTGTTCACGTTCCATGGTGTCTCTGATGAGTAAGGAGATATTATTTGTGGAATTGTTTGAAGGGATAGTAATTGTTTGTGGTTGTGGTTTGGTGGTTATTTTTGATTGTAGTTGTGATTGTAGTTGAGGTAGTGGTTGTGGTTTTTGTGGGATTTGATTTTGAGCTGATAGGTACTCACTTATCTGTGCTGTATTTTTTTTTTCAAGAGAGATTAGGCTTGCTTGTATAGTTGTTTCAAAGCGTGTTGCTAAGCGTTCTTCTATTGAGTGAATGAGTGATTCTATGCTTTCAACTCTTACATATCTTACACATCTTGAGGTTATGGCAACTGCAACTAACTGGATTGCCATTGCTAAATGATGTGGTCATGTGACATGCATTATATTCACATTGCTTAGCAACAGCAATCCCAGTCCCAATTGCTGTTGAAATTTTTAAATTGGAAACAGGCAATGGCAATTAGATACTTTAATTTGGTCCTCTTTTCTTCTTATCTCATTTTTGTAGCATAAGAAATTATATCATTCAAAATGGGACAAATAAGATAATGAACATATAATGGCATGTTTAAAATGAATGTGATTGGTATAATGCAAGAATTAGTTTAACTTTATCAACTTTATACATCTACAAAAAATGTACAAATTAAGTCAACATTGCAAATGAATGCTTTCTAAAGTAAAAAGGTTTAAAGATCTTAAAAAGGATTATTGGGTATATTTTTGAATAATCAATATAGTTTTTCAAATCCCGTTTACCATCTATATGTTTGCTTTGTATTCTCTTGCTTTTTCTTTTCTGAAATAAAAAAATTAAAAATGTTAATTTATGAAAATGGATTTTAAATAATATGATTTATCCAAGATATTGAAGAAATAGCTATCGATTGTATATAAAGCAAAAGTGAGGATTTTAGAAAGGAGAAATATACTGAGAAAATGTTGCTTTAGTAAATACTTCGTGAAAGTTAATAAGGTTTTAGTAAAAACATTTACATGAACATTATCAGGATACAATTTAATTCAGTTTTCTATTTAATAGCAAATATCTTTGTATTTTTATATATTTGTTTCTATGGAACAGAAAACCTATCTCTGATTTTTGTTTTGTTTATATGCAGAATGCACACTATTTCTTATCTCAATTTTCCCAGGTTGTTCGTCGGATGATGTGGCTGATGGATCATATATTTAAATACACAAATTTTGGAGTTGTATCTCTGATTCATGGAGACTTCTTTATAAGACAGGCAAGAATTATAAGTATTTTAGTAGTAAAATCTGCTTTCTTAAATATTTATTTGTACCTTGCTATGATTGTCAGTGTATATAAAGAGCCTTGGTGGCGCAGTGGTTAGAATGCAATATTGCAGGCTAACTTTGCCCACAGCCTGGAGTTCAATCCTGCAGGCTCAAGGTTGATTTAGTCTTCCATTCTTCCATGGTTGGAAAAATGAATACCCTGATGGCTGGGGCTATATGCTGGCATTATAAACCATCCAGAGAGTACTATGGGGCAGTATATAAGTCTAAGTGCTATTGTGTTGCTGTTGCTATATATTAAATTGAAATCCATTTCAAAATAGTGTCAACAATTAATGAACAATTTAACAGAATGTGGAGAAACACACAGTAACTACTAAGAATACTGGTTTGGTGTATTGTAGACGTGCCATTTATTTTGTTCACCCACTTAGAATACAAGACCTGTTTACAGCAAACTATGCTTTTGGGGATTGGAGTACGTGGTTTGCCACAAGTTTCTAATCTAATGTGAAACTTTTTAATAAAATATCAATCCATATTTTGGCTTTGTCTGAATGACTTCTCTATATGACAGGTGTGTCCCATGCTTATTTATTTAAAACATTTATATAACCTCCCACTTTTCAGAGAACTCGGGGCAACTCATTTTAAAAACTGTAAAACACACTTATCTAAGAGTTTAGTGTTTTTACACATACAGATGATTCTTTGGAACTGGAGTGGAACAGAATATTTTGCATCCTTAAATGTCAGGGGATAGAAATTGTAATAATGTAACCATGATGTATAAAATATTATATTCTTTGTAGAATTACAGATTTGGAAAGGGTTATTTAAGCTGTAAAATTCATCTTCCATAAATCTATCTTATAAATCATATAAATCTCTTAGTTTATAATTTGATCTGCATAGTAGGCATGTAGGCAAAGAACCCCAATTGAGTGACTTTTGTAGTTTTATAAACTTTGCAAATACCTTTACTTAATTATTCATTTAGCAAATTCTAAGATACGGTATATTTATTATTAGATAGCCAACAATTAACCCTATGTATTTCAGAGAATACTACTGATGCAGATGCAGTATTCTGCTTTTTGGAAACTTGTTTCCTGCTGTTCAACAGTGTTTGCAGAAAAAGAAAGTGAAAGACAGAAAAAAGTGATAAGGACAAACAGCCATATTAACATCAAAAGGATTAAAGTGAACGTGTAGGCTATAAGACAATAAAAAATGGTCCCTGGAGAAAGAAGAGTGAGTTGAAAAATAACATTTCCTAATGGACCATCTTAGAGAGTAGCTGGATAATGGAAGTAGCCTAGATCTAGACCATAAGTTCAAAGTAGAGTGATCATAGCTGTGCAAACTCTGATATCTATTTCCAGCTCTTCTTTAGGTGTAGTTCAGTTCTGTAGCAGATTGTTGCTTCTCTCCTTCCATTTCTGATCACTCCAGGTCTCTATGAAAAATATGAAAAGTAATGAACACAATTTAGAGCCTTTGAATATTAATTTCCGTTTGGCTAGAAACTGTTTAGATTGGGAGACTCTGCAGTTAATTTTAAAGCCAGCAGCAAAGGAAATAATGGCAGGAACATATTTTGATTGGATTTATCCTCAAATAAGTAAGATGATGTCAATAGGAGAGTATACAGGACATAGGGCAGTAGAAAGAGTCAATATTGTAGCAACGTAGCAAGAGGATTGAATAAATATGTCAGGCAGGCCCCACCTAACTCACATGAAGATAAAAATGGAGGAGGACACATTCATCTGTTACAATAAAAATCTTGAACTATGTAGCATTGTTTTTTTTAATTTGGTCTACCTTGTTGACGTACAGGAAGAAATGGAAGAATGATTAATTCACAAATAATTAAATTTAATTTAATTGCCTGTTCTTTGGGAAGTTTACTTTTAACTGGATTAGTGTGTTTATAAAATGATAGGGCCATGTGGGCGGTGCAGCCTTATGTTCCTGCGCAGCTTGGATTAATTGCTTTGGGGGGTGTTCTGGGGTGAGATTTCCCTGCAGCCCACCAAAATTTTCTCACGGACAGTTTGCCACGGCCACCCAGTTGGCGACCGCTGATATAAACAACATTTATGCACTCTGCAAGGGAGACAATCAAAAAGGGGACAAAAAGTCCAAAATACCTCTCCACCAGCAATCAACACCCACATGAGCATAGATTAACACCAAGATTAACATCAGACCAACAATCAAGAAGTAAACAATACCCCAATCAAGGAATGTCAAACAAGCTAAGCCCAACCAAACAACTTCTAAGACCACTCCCTACTAGCACTGATGATGTTACCTAGTTTGGGTAATGAAACATCTGTAAGAAAACAACCAAGATCAGAGAACATCAAGGACCCCTCATCATACAATGTAATAAGCCATGACTTATTTTATATTTTATTTAAAAATCCATACATACTTAGTTTATACTTCATATTGAGTTCTAATCAAAGCATATTATACCTTATTGCAATGTATGAACCTAGCTTTGAAAAAGGAAAGTCCTGTTAAATATTTTAATTTATATGAATTTCATGTTTACTTTATTTCCTAAATTCACAATTTATTGGAAACAAATTGGTTTGAAGTTTTTCAGTAAAAATAACTGGTTAGGGTAGGAAAGTAGAGATCAGATAATTTATTAAGTATTCTTTTTGTCATTTCCACTTTAGGGAAAAGCTTATCGTGACCAACAGCTTATACTCCTCCATGAACATCTAGAAAAATATTACAGGAGCCGTAGTCGCAAGTGGATTGTATTGTTTCCAGAAGGTGGTTTTCTTAGAAAAAGAAGAGAAACCAGTCAGGCATTTGCCAAGAAAAACAGTTTGCCATTTCTTACACATGTCACACTGCCAAGACTGGGAGCCACCCAAGTTATACTGAAAAATCTGGTAGCTCAACAAGAAAATGGAATTTTGGCGGGTGAAAAGGTTCCTGTATCAGGTATGGAACATTTTAAATATTTATGGAATAGCTGCTATGTGATCAGAATCTTAAAAGTAGTCTGATATTTTATTCTGTATTGTATTGCATGTATAATTCGTTATACAACAATATGTATAAGTTAGCGTTGTGGTATGCTGTAAATTTAACATTTACCCAAAGCTGTGCAACACTATCAAGCTACCAAATAATTCCTTTTTTAAATTCATTCTAATTTTCTTTACTGCTATGACCTCTGAAGTCTTGAGTAGCTCCTAAGGCAGGGGTCCCCAACCGCCGGTCCGCGGACCGGTACCGGGCCGCGGAACAAGCCTTACCGGGCCGCTGGTTGCTGGGCGCCGCCATCTTTTTTTGGTAAAAAAAGCAATTTTTTGTCAAAAAAGATGGCGCCAGCGCTTCGGGTGAGCTTTTCCGGGTAGAAAGCCATTTCTACCCGAAAAAGCTCACCAGAAGCGCTGGCGCCGCCATTTTTTTTGACGAAAAATCACTTCCGGTGACGTCCCCGGAAGTGATTTTTCGTCAAAAAAAGATGGCGGCGCCCAGCTGACGCCGGAACCGGGCCGCGGCGTCGAAAAGGTTGGGGATCCCTGTCCTAAGGTATTTCAGGAAAGCTTTCTGACAGATGAATGTCAGCCCCAAATCAGAAAACCAACTCCAACTAACCAACTATCTTTCCTGAGATTGGCAATATAAACAGAATCTGATTGAAGGCTGATTGAACTCTACCTCCTCTCTCTTTTGTACTTCAGCTAATTAAGAGGCATCTCCCTGAGCCGCTTCCAAATGATATCACCTTACTCTGGACTTGAAAAATATTTTGGCTTCTTTTGAGTAGGTAATGATTCTTGCATATTTCCATCAAGATCATCTTTATACTAGGTGACCTTACATGGAGATTTGGAATCTGAATAGTTCTGTCTTCAACAGAACTTATAAAGGCAGTTCTCCATGTAGCTCTCTTCAGGGACCACCCTTGGCATCTGCAGCATAACAGTTAAAGATTCCAAGTGCTGTTTTCTTGGGTGAAAGATTATTCTCAGTCCTTCTGGGGAATGGAGGGAATGGAGAAAGGTAACAGATGGAAGCATCTGCTTTCTGAAGGTTAATGACCCCAATTTTAAGACAGGTGGTCTTTGCTGACAGGCCGTTGCAATTCCATGGGGTCTTATAGAGCGCGTCTTTTGCCATGAGGCAAGGTGGCTTCCCATATAGCAATTACTGGAACAGGATGAACTAACAAAATATATCAGTAGAGACCACACCCAAAAGTGTCTGGTGCAAATGCTAGCATCGCTTCTTTGGTTTTTCCTTCTGTTACCAGATATCAGAAAATCGGAATACTTCCACTTAGGCCCCATAAAAATAATCTTCCATTTAGATAAAATTAAGTCAGTTTAGGAACTTAAATTCATCAAGAACTAATGACATCTACACCTTATGGTTCAATGGCAAACTTGTGGAAGACAAACTCTGTTCAGACCATCTTAGCCTTACATGCAGAGTCAAATCTGCCTGGAATAAATTTATAACATTGCTTGCTGCATCTTCTGTGATTAAAGTACTGTAGGAAGAAAGGAATCCAGACAATGATAGCCTCAGTCCCTCATACTGGTTTTCATTCAAGCAAGCCTCAAGTGGAGCTTATGATAATCAGGGCCCAACATGCCAAACTATCAGTCTCAGTTCTGGGATCAATTTTTGACATTCACACATTTCAGTGGACCCTTCTGTGATTCTCAATGTAGTTACAGAAATAATACTTGTCAGTGTCCTTCTTAGGAACGAAATTTCCCACAAAATACAAGTAGTCCTTGAGTTATGACTATAATTGACCCTGGCAATTACATTCATGAATTTTGATGGTCATAAAGTAGATCACCATGAAACTAGACCTGATTTTACAGTCTTTATTGCAGCACTTATTATACAAATGTCACAGTCATTAAGCAAAGTTATAGTTGTTAAAGTTTGCTGTGGGCTGGTTTGTGCCAGACATTGGAAGTATACACTGTTTTTCAGCAAACTACATAAATTGTAGTGACATGACCATGGGGTACTGCAAATAACCTCCTGTAAAAGTGGCCAGTTGCTGAGTGCCCAAAATGCGATCACATGACCATGGGAGGGAGAGTGACTCTGGAATTATGTAACGGCGGAAAGTAGCTTTTGGGGGGGGCATTATAACATCAAACAGTTGCTATGTGACTGGTTATAAGTCGAGGACTACCTGTACCTATATGCATTGATAAACAATATATACAGTATTTCAGCGACTACAGAGATTCTAACATAGAACTAATAATAAATACATTGCTTAGTTTTTAAAAATTAAACCAGATCCATGTGTTTTGAATTTGTTGAAAAACAATCCATTGGCATTGCTTTTGACTGCTACCGGTCCTATACAAACAACAATCACAGAACCAAGTGTAACCACACCTTTAGTTAGACCAAATATTTTCTGAGTTTTCATATCTGTTCAACAAGCAGGCTATTTTAGTGGAAAGTTACACAAGAATAATTATGTGAGGATCAAACCAATTTACCTTTTCATTTAGTCTGACAGCTTTCTAGCCTTAGCTATCTATTTATTTTGCCATTTTTTTTAAAAAAAATGGCTTCTATGGACCTCATATACTATGACGCTACTAGTCTTCTCATTTGTTGCTTTTCTACTCATAATTCTTCTGTAGATGTCTAATTTTATTATATTTATTTGATTTCTACAGCCATCCATTTTGGCACATGATTTCAGTCGGTGTACATCATAAAAACATAAAACAATTATAACTGTAACAAATAAATACATATTATATTAAATGCAATATTAAAATGTGGGAGCTTAATTGAATCACATACTTCATTACATGTCTATAGATTACTATGTAAGTCAATTTAATAGGTGGTTGCAAAATTATATTTTTGGCTATAATAATCCACTTATTTTTTCTGTCTTCCAAAGGCTCTATGATAAGCAGTTGATAATGATGATATTCAGATGTACAGGTAGTCCTCAACTTACCACCACAATTGAGCCCAAAATTTATGTTGCTAAGTGAGAAATTTGTTAATTGAGTTTTGCCCAATTTTATGACTTTTGCTACATTTGTTAAGTGAATCACTGCAGTTCTTAAATTAGCAACATGGTTTTTAACTGAATTTGGCGTCCCCATTGATTTTGCTTGTCAGAAGGTTGCAAAAGGGGATCACGTGGTGCAAACATCATAAATGTGAGTCAGTTGTCAAGCGTCTGAATTAAATCACATCACCATAGGGATGCTTCAATGGTCAGTGCCGTTGTAACTTCGAACAGTCACTAAATAAACTGTTGTAAGTTGAGGACTACCTGTATTGTTTAACTCTCTCTTCCTTCCCAAAAGCATGCATGTTTGCATTTTCTATTTTGTTGCTACATGCACACTTTATGACGAAATATACTTGAATATTAACATTTGTTTGTTTTTGAGCTTGGTATTGTGAGGATTTGTATTCATACTGAGTGAAAGCAACTGTGCTTCATGGTGTATTCATGTGAAATACTAAGGCAAACTATTGTTCTTGGCAGCCTCTGACTGCAAGAAGCCATGAGAGAAAAATGACCTGTTCAGAGAAATAGATACATGCATCCTGCACTCTGCAGGTTTCCATTCAAATCTCTATAGGCTAATTTGGTTGCTTTCAGAGGAAGCAAGAACTTGGAGAATTCTCAAGAGGAGCAACACTGAAAACTGTAAAAGTCTTATTAGGAGCAGTCTCTGAAGTAGATACAAATTTGTATTTTCTTCAAGTTGCAAAACTGAGAGTCTTTTAAACATTTTAGTCCCTTCATTTATAGTTTTTCTTGAGCAACATCTAGATATAAGTGCTTATCTTTTTTCTTTTTCCTGAGATGTCATTAGATGATTCAAAACTCTAGATCCTCCATAGGCTGGGATTATAGCTGAAACCTATTATAATTGCTAAAGAGAAAACTTAGTTATTTTTCTAGTATCATCAGAATTGGGTATCTCTTGTAACTTGATCTATGCCCCACCAACACCATGAAATAGTATTTCAAGAATCAAAGGAATATTCTACAAGATTGAGCAATGAGCCCACATTTATGGCCATTTGCAGTCCCCAGCAGTCATATCACTGTGATTTACAATATTTTTTGTTGGAAAACAGTCAGTGTTTACTTCCAGTTTCTTGCAAAATGGGATTGCATAATGATTGCATTGTTTGCTTAACAACCACAGCAAAAATGGTCATAAAATCAGGGGCAGTCACATGGTGAACTGCTAAATGACCCTCATGATTCCAGGCTCAATTACAGTTGTAAGTCAAGGATTACCTCTATTATGGAAGCAGCAGCAGTTGTAGCAATCTTGCCCATCCTGTTCTTTGCCCAGTTTTTGATGCCCACAATTGTGCTTTCATTATAGTTTCATATAACATGAACACTTGTATGAATACCACAGACCAAATATGAATACCAAAGGTACAAGTACAGATTAGGGAAAACCTGGCTCAAAAACAATAACTCTGAGAAGAACCCTTGGAATCCTAGTGGACGGTCATGAGCCAGCAGTGTGCGGCAGCAACCCCAAAAGCCAATACAATCCATGATTGTATAAACAGAGACATAGAATCAAAGTCACGTGAAGTATTAGTATCGCTTTATAAATCCTTACTAAGACCATACCTGAAATACTGCATCCAGTTTTGGTTACCACATTACAAAAAAAGATGTTGAGAATTGGGAAAAGTACAAAGAAGAGCAACCAAGATGATTAAGGGCCTGGAGACAAAAGTATATCAGGAAAGGTTGCAGGAGTGGGTATGCCCAGTCTAGAGAAAAGAAGCACTGGAAAACATGAATGCTGGTCTAAAAGTAATCGGTGTTCGGATCAACAATTTAAGATATGCTGATGATATAGTTCTGCTTACCAGTAAGGATGAAGACCTTCAGCTCCTCATCAACGAAGTCACAGAAATATTTGAAAAATACGGCTTGAAGC